GAAGAGGGAAGGTGGGGGGTGGGCGGGGGGGGGGGGGTGGGGGGGGGGGGGGGGCTGTGAGCCTGTCATTTTTTAGTTTTCGTGTGTACAGTTTGCGGCGTCGTCCTGTTTAAAGCACTCTGAGAACATAAATTATAAAGAACGGCAAAAATGAAGAAAAGAGTCGTCAGAGGAAAGAGATTCTTCATGCTGCGCTCACCACAACAGGACGGGACGCTGCTACATATCTATATATTTATACTATATACACAGATGACTGTTGGTTTGTTGGTTGGTTTGGGGGGGGGGGGGGGGGGGGGGGGGGATGTTAAGGATTCTGATTGGTCGTCTCCTGACTGGTTAACACAGAGGAACAGAAACAGGTTTGAGTCTGAACTAGTCTGACTGTGTGTGTGTGTGTGTGTGTGAGCAGTCAAACCAGATCCCACAGCAGGAGGCGCTGCTGCGGAGGTCGTTTTATTCTAAAAGTTTCTGAAAATGTGGGCGTCTCTGAGTCGGACCCTGGACCGCGGTCACTCTGGAAACAGCCTCACGTCACGTCACGCTGACGCTTGTTTTGTTGTTGGTTTTTTTTTACTCTAACAGGACGGAGTACACGTCCTGATGTAGTTACTGAGTAAAAAACACACAACAAAAAGTACTGTACTAGAGAGAGGGCGAGAGAGGCAGAGAGAGGGAGAGAGAGTGGAGTTAGAGTGTGTGTGTGTGTGTGTGTGTGTGTGTGGGCCGGTGTCAGGAGATGGCAGGGTTGTAGGTATGAGGTGTCTCCTGCACAGTCTGTCTGTAGGAGTGAGTCGTGGTAATGAGGACGACTGCTGTTTGTGTGGGCGACTGTTTCTCTGCCTTTCCGCCTGTTTATGTTCAGCTTCCTGCTTTGTTTCTTGGAAACGCACAATAAAATCTCCAGTGTGTTTTTCACAGTCTTTGGAGGGTCGGCCAATCAGGTTACAGAGAGAGCTGACCCCGCCCCCCCTCCCCGGGGCCCAGAGCATCACACGCTCTGTGACGATGACACGGTGGCACCGAGCGAACAACAGCCGCCGCGACCTCCTGGTTAGTGACGACCACGTGATGCTTCACACTGTGTGTATTTTAGCATCGTCTGTATTTTTGTGTGTTGTGTATTTTTGCGTTTTGTGTATTTTTTGCGTTGTGTATTTTTTGCGTTGTGTATTTTTGTGTTGTGTATTTTTGCGTTGTGTGTATTTTTTGTGTTGTGTGTATTTTTTGCGTTGTGTATTTTTTGCATTGTGTATTTTTGCGTTGTGTGTATTTTTGTGTTGTGTATTTTTGTGTTGTGCAGCGCGGCTGTCAGAGAAGCAGAAGAAGCCAATTGTGCAAAACAAAAACACTGTGCTTATTAGGGTGAAGAGAGAACGGGCGACGATTGTGTGTATTTTTGTGTTGTGTATTTTTGTGTTGTGCAGCGCGGCTGTCAGAGAAGCAGAAGAAGCCAATTGTGCAAAACAAAAACACTGTGCTTATTAGGGTGAAGAGAGAACGGGTGACGATGAGTCCGAGAGAAATATAAAATATACACTATATATATATATATATACAGAATATATATATATATTTATGTATGAATATAAAGTGGAGCTCAGGCTGGGGAGGCCCACCCTGACAGCTGGAGTTCTCACTCGCTCCAGGATCCTCTGATTTTTACATTGACATAAATAACCACACATTTTCACAAGAAGAAGAAGAAGAAGAATCAAAGTTCTCACAGATGGAACCGATGGAACCGAGTTCACTGACACCTGACACCAAGAAGAACGCAGCGTTGTGTTACTGTTGAACTGTACAGTGAAGTACAACCAAGTACTAACCAAGTACTAGGACCTGGTCCATACATCTGTAGGAGGACTTGGCCATTAGACCGTGATGTCATCGAACACAACACTCTCTCTCTCTCTCTCTCTCTCTCTCTCTCTCCCCCC